GTTCAGTTGGGACCCTCGTGACTGGAGACATTGGAAGGAGGGATGGCAACCGCTTCCTGTTTTTTCCAGATCGGCCTGTTCCCCAGGACACATCTGACCACCTGACCTGCAGTGCTCACCCCTGCTCAGGCCCCAGGTCCTTGAACAGCTCTGGTCTGCTCCACTGTTATGGAAAACCTTGAGGAGCTCTGAGCAGGAACGGTGCATCAGACCACTGAATGGTGATGTTTCCCTTCCTTTTCTGTCTTATCCTGTAGAACAGTTCTATCAATGCCGACCTTTTAGAGACTGACTTTTAGGTCTCCCAATGAGCACTGTCCCTGGGTGCCAGCTCTGGGATGGTGTGACCATCTTGATGCTAAGCAAGGTTTTGCTTTTCCTTTTTTGACTTTTAGTGGTGGGGAGTGTCTTAGTGCATTCGGGCTACTGTACCAGCACACCACAGACTGAGTGGACCAAGAGCAACAGGGATTTATTCCTCACATTCTGAAGGCTGGAAGCCCAAGGTCAAGGTCCCAGGTCAAGGTGCCAGCAGATTCAGCATGGGTTGAAAGCTTATTTCCTCCTGTGGAAAGGGAGGAGGAAGCTCTCCAGGGTGCTAAATGCCATAGGGTGAAGCCCATCTCTGACACAAATGCTCATTCCGACTTCACATCCTGCCACCAGTCCTCACTGAAACAAGAGCATCGATGGCTTGTTTTCTCTCCCCAATCCAGGTCTGATTTCAGTAGACAAGCCCTTTCCTGCAGGGCACAGATTTCATTTCTGACACAGGATCAAGCTCCGTTAGTCCCTGTGAGCAGACAGAACTGGAACCAGAAGAAGTTGGACGCTCTGTCCAAGGTCTGCCAACCTGGTGATCATTAGACTCCTCTTTACACCAGATTGGTTTAGTCAAGCTGCCTGGACACAGTGTTGGCAGCTTTGGTGAGAGGTGTGGTCAGAATGCAGCTGAACACAGAGACCACTGACAGCCCAGGTAGGTGGGAGGGAGAGAGCTTCAGCAAGGTCTCCTTGGGCTCTACCAAAGTGGCCCAAGGAAGGGGGCACAGTCACAGGGAAGAGAGGGCACAGCAGCCAGTATAGAGGAGAAGACCAAGAGTTCAATTTGGTGTGATTACAGCTTGAGGGGCTGAAGAGGCATCCATCCAGTCAGAAATGTTAGGCAGCTGGACACAGATCTCCAGGTTCAAGGTGGAGGTCAGGACTGCAGAGGTCAACAGCGTAGAGATGGAACTTAGCCTCCTGGACAGATGCCCCCCCCCCATCAGGTGGCATTCATTTCTGTGTGGATCAAATTCTGTTCATCTCCAGCTGTGCAGGAAGTGGAACTTCAAGACCCTGGTTCCGGAAATCCATAGCAGACAAGCACTGTCCTGCTGTAGCATCCACCACCTGCAGGATCCGGCTGCCACTCAGGAGGAAGACAGCAAGACCCCACCTTGCTGTGGGACCTGAGGAGAAGGAGAGCTGCCGACCAAGGCCGCACAAGGTCCTGGAGAGCAAAAGGTCTTGTGTTTATGCAGAGATTTTGAGCCTATGACGGGAGGTGGTAGCGTCCCTTTCCCCAGGTGCCCATGTGTCTGGGGTTACCCTGTCCAACCTGTGGTTACCTTTATAAAGGTAGCTTTTTGGTCGTTGGAGAAAAGGGGACATGTAGGCTTTTATCCTGTGGTTGGGGTATAAGAGTCTGAGGCTGTAAGATTGTCTGTGTCACTTAAGATTGAAGCCCTGGAATGAGGACTGTCACCACCAATGCCCAGATTCTCACTTGCAACCAAATCTGGGCTCTTCTAGCTTCCTCCTCCCCTCCTCTTCCTCCTCTGTCATTTTTTTCTTTTTTAACTAACCTATTTTGTGGACTCTGACTCTGGTTGGAGGTAGGTGGGGATCATGGCTTGAGTGCAGCTGGGGTTTCCATACTGCGGGGCTAGTTCTGTAAACCAGCTGGCTACTTGCAATAGTCCTTAACTCAAGGACCACACCTTGACCAAGCCTGGTTTAAATAATGTTTCCAGGGAATCTTGACAGCAGACACTTTCCACCCTGTGTGCTCTGGAGGCTTGAGCTGTGTGTCAGAGCCCGCTACATTCTATGAGCTGCAGAGAGAACTTCTATGAACTTAGCATATTTTCTAAAGTTTGCAAGGTGATGTCGTTGTACTCTCCAGCGACATCACCTTGCAAACTTTAGGGGAGAGCCATAGTTTTCACCTGGTGCATGCACAGTCAATCTAACAGGAGGAACTGTGAGTTTTTGAGAAGATAGAAAACAAGGCATGGATCGTGTCTCAGAAAGGTGACACTCTGGGACACTCAGGAAGGAATGCAAACCCACCTGTGCTGGGAGACTAAGCCAAACAGGGAGCAATGCTCAGAACCACAGCAGCTTTCTCCAGGCTGTGGCTGTGTTCCCTGCCTCACTTCATCTTAGAAACATGATGCTTCCACTAAGGGGAAAAGTTTTGGGAAAAAAAAAAAGACAAACTGCTTTAAGCTTGTGGAAATGAGAAGTGGCTATGACCAGATATTCACCAGTCCACTGTCCAGCAGTGTCCTAGGTTGGCCTTTGCTGTCTGACTCGGGAAAGGTTCTAGAGAGGGAGAGACACTCCCTATTGCATGGCAGCTGGAGTCCTCCATGCTGGGAGCCCACCCTGGCTTGGCGTGCACAGGGCCATGGGGACATGTGCTTGCAGACCACCGAGGTTGGCATGCATTTGGTTTT